CAATTTAAGTTAACGGAAATGTAACATTTTTTTGTAGTTCTAGAGATATATTTTGATAATTTGTCATCAATGCTATCACGAGACCTAACATATCCTGATGTTCCATAACTTTTGTGAACATTGACTTTTCTCCCCCCTCATATCTAAATCCTGGCTCCGCCATTGGCCGAGTACGAGAGATGTATTGTCTAGGAGGATAAACAAAAGCAAATAATTAGTGGGTTCCACCATGTAAATCTTCAATTTTTCCCCATGGAAATTTTTGGGTGTCACTAGGCCATAGGCATTGTACCATGCCAATTACCAATTTTTTATTACTTCATTTGTGCATGCACACACCAACAATATTTATTTTTGCTCTGAATTCAATGCAAAGTACTATATGTTTTTTTTGCTTTTACTAGAATCATAGAAACAATACTGTTAAGACATGCATTGCACGTGTATACATACTAGTAAAAACTAATGACACTGAAATATAAGGTTTTTTACGGATAGAAATATAAGGGTCTTACAAGTCAAATTTCATGCGGTTGTATGCATATAGTGTAGCTAGATAAATTCTCCCAAAAGCTTAAGAATCTTGCTAGCTAGGCTTGCACAGCTGCCCATCAAAAAAGAAGCCTGCACTAGCTGGCTATCACGACGATGGCTACTTATGTGAAAATTCTTGTGGTGCCTCTGTACCTTGTACGTGTAGTTAAGCAATGAGGATCATTAGATACATCAGGCTAATTGATTAATTCACATAGACATGCACGTATTCTCCTCAGGTAAAAAAAGGTGACTGGCCCAAATACTAGAACCAGTCACCTGACTCCTAGCCGCTCCCCTCTCCCTCTCCAACCGTACAAATAGGCATGAACATTTTGATAACTTGAAAACACTTATCAAAAATACACAAATAGTTTCTAAGCTCATAAAATTTTCCAAAATTTATTATTATTTTTTAGAAATAAAATCATATTTTATATTAATCTCATAAAGTTAAAAAAAAATGGTGGACATTTGAAAACTCCAGGGACATTTTTAAAATTCATAGACATTTTTAAAATTCAATAGTTTTATTAAATAGGTAAAACAAATAAACTGTTTTAACACTTTTTAAAATCCATGAACTTTTTAAAATTGGGGTGAATATTTTACAAATACAAGTTTTTTGCAATTATTTTTGGAATGCAAGCATTTTTTTTATTTCTCATAGTAAAATGTTTTCTGTTTAAAATTGACTAATGTTTCCTTAAAAATAATCTACGAAAATAAAAATAAGTTACCAACTTTTAAGAAAAAAAAACAGGGAAGGCACCACCCATTATGCATGCTGGATAGCAATCGATGTGTGGAGTAACAGAACTCCCTCCGTACCTAAATATTTGTCTTTCTAGACATTTCAACAGGTGACTACATATGGAGCAAAATGAGTGAATCTACATTCTAAAAATATGTCTATATACATCCCTATGTGATAGTCCATTTGAAATCTCTAAAAGGACAAATATTTAGAAACAGACGGAGCAGTAGATGCAGACATGAGTCGATCTACTAATCTTGTATGTGATGCCTATATAATCATCATTGTCTGGATATCGTCATGATTATTTGAAATTCTATCAATTGCCCAACAGTAATTTGTTTATCCGTCGTATGCTATTTTTCTTGAGAGAGGCCACTAGTGAAATCTACGGCCCCCGGGTCTCTTTTTATCATATTTGCCTGCAAGATCAATTTTTGTTTGCTTTTATTTTCAAATCTATTAATCCAAAAACCTAAAAATACCTAGCTGTAATTTATTCTTATCTATTTTATATCGCGTTCCCGCGAGATCTATTTATCCAATCCACTACAATTTTATCTATCTTTTTACTAGGTAGGGATCGACAACCCCTCTTTTACGTCTGGTTGCAAAATTTTGTTCTTTGTGTGCAGGTACTGTTTACGTAGTGTTGCGTGGTTCTCCTACTAGTTCGATAACCTTGGTCTCATCACTGAGAGAAATACCTATCATAACTGTGCTGCATCATCCCTTCCTCTTTGAGGAAATATCGACATAGTTCAAGCTGCATCATCCTTCCCCTGCTTTTGTGATGAAAACAATAAATCTCAAGTCGCGTCGGAGTGTGGAGGGCGGTTGCTCCGACCGATGGCCTGCCTGGCTTTTGCCGATGCTGACAATACGACGCCCGTGGGTGTCACTCTTAGGCCCAGTTCTTTTGAGCAGATTGTAGAGAATTTTGGTCTGGAAAATCTGGAGCCAAAAGAACTCGTTTTGACTTCCAAAATCTGGAGAGGATTCTATAGAATCCTAGTGCAATCCAAAAGCAGCCAGAAAGCTAGATTTTCCCAGAATCCTGAGATTTTGGCAAGTCCCACCTCTGAAAACGTTTCATAATATAGGAATACCCCTATCCCATGGAGAAATTACGCCCAGAATGCCACTAGCCCATCCACGCGCTGGAGAGAAAACGCTCTCGCTCGACCGCCCCTGTTCGCATCAGGGGAAAACGCTCGGCCGCCCTGTTCGCGAGGGCTAGGGTTTGCCGCCGCCGCCTGGCCCTTGCCGCCGCCGCCGCCCGCCTGGCCCTTGCCGCCGCCGCCGCCCGCCTTATCTCCCTCCGCCGCCCCTCTTCCTTCCCTGCTCCTCCTCCCCTCCGCCGTATCTCCGCCAACACTGACGGCCCACCTCACCGCTGCCGGACGGGAGCTCCGCCAGCCCCGCCATTCCTCACGACGGCCCACCTCGCCGCTGCCGGACGGGAGCTCCGCCAGCCCCGCTCCTCGCGACGCCGCTGGACGGGAGAGCTAGCCTACCACCGTGTGCTCGCCGCAGGCCGCCCTTCCTAGACGCCCGCCGGACGCGAGCTCCCGTTCATTGTCTCGTTTCTCTTTTGCCTCCTCTGTATTCTTCTGTCACTTCTGTTTGTTTCTCTGCCAATATCTAGGTGAATAGATGGATGGATAGATGCATGGATTGATGAATAAATGGTACTGGTAATGGATTGCTGTATGTTTGATTCTTTGAATTTGTAGCTTGATAATTTGCTATAAATTGCTTGCTATTTCGGTACTGCTACTTGGTGCTTGGTAATTATGTGCTGATGAATAGATGATGTATGTACGTGCTGATGGCTAAGGGCAGTATAGACATTTCGGCACAGAACTCAGTCCACAATCTCAAACTACAATTTCAGAAAAGAACTCGACAGTAGATTCTGCAGGAAGCGGATTCTGTGAGAATTTTCCAGAATCTTGATTCTGCAGAATCCTGCACGAAAAGAACTGGGCCTTAGTACATTCTGAAGGGTTGTCGTGGAGCTCTGTGTCCTTTTTCCTTCCTTGGGATTCGTTCTCAAATGAAATCCTATGGCCGTGCTGCAAGGTTGGGGGATGACGTTGTTTCACGTTGCTATCCCCTTGGGGCGTGTCTTCAAGACATGTTTCCCTTAATGCTTTCCTTGGGCTGGACATGCACGACATCATGGTTGGGTGGTGCCTAACCGGTGATGCGAATGGTTGGCGTTGCAACTTGTGCAACAACAACGATGGTGGCGAGGGGAGCTGGGTTGTGGCTTGTCCTACCGACGTCGACTCTCCGGTGCACCAATGCTTGCGCCTATGCTTGTTCCTCACTATGGCAGGGAAGTCGGAGCTGCGTGCGGCTGGGCCCCTGGCGACGATGACTCCATGGGAGTTGTTTCGATGAACGTTGCTATCCGGAGGTTTCGCCGGACTTGGTTCGCACGAGGCTTACAACTTTCTCATGTGAAACTCTTTGGCAAAATCAGAATTGTCGTGTCCTTGACCCTCCGGTCAACTGTTTGACGATACTTTGTCGTTCGGTGCAACCTGTTGGCGGCTGTCAAGTTTGTGCTTGTCCAAGGCCAAGTCGAAGTATGAAGGTTGCCGACGATGTTCTCGCTCGCGATCTTGTGAGTGGCCAGATTGTCCACGGATGCCCCTTGTGGGGTTTGTAATCTAGTTTTCCATTCCGTACTTAACCGGTCAACTTTCTTCTTATCAATTATGTTGAAAACGGTAAATCTCATTCGAAAAAAAGAGATAAATCTTTTTGTCTCGTTTAAAATGAAAAAACACAGCAGCAACCGACGTTCCGAACGGAGATGCCCAGCCGGGCAAAGTCGAACGAGACTTGCCTACTTCCCGCGCGTGTGCCCATCCGTGCTCCCGCATACGTGGCTTGATTTGATTGAAACAAAATAAAACCCGACCCCACCTCCTTAAAATCAGGAGAGAAGATGATTAGATTAGAAAGAAAAAACGAAAAAAAAAAACAGTCGTAGGATAAAATGTGAGCACGGATGAAAGCACGAGGGCAAAGCCGATCCACCCCACCGGAAACCCGTCACATGATGTGCAGTGCAGCAGGTCTCCGCTGGAGGGTTGCGGTGCAGAAGATCGAGTCCGGCCACGCGAAACAGGGAAGCGGTCAAAACCGGTTGCCGCGCCTTCACGTGCGTGTCCGGCCCCGCCCCGGATGGGCTACCCCTGCGCAACTTCTGGTACCACCCGCCCTCCTCGCTCTGACACGCAGCAGTCGCCGAGAGGAAAACAACGCCCGCGTCCCCGTCGTCCTCGCCGCCGGGACAGCGGCCACACCCCGCCGTGCCGTCGCTGGCGCCCCGCTGCGCCTGCGCGAACGGACTCCTGTTGCCCCGGCGCCGGGAGACTGGGCGGAAAGGCGAGGCACGGAAGCGAGCGGGGAAAGGGGGGTGGGTCAGTCAGCTCGACCGTTTCAGTTTCGCTGGCATGATGGATGGATGGATGGATGGGATGGCGTCGATAAGTCGGACAGCAGCCAGCAGTTTCGCCAGTTCCCCACCCACTCCTCCTTCCCCTTCCTTCTTCCCTCCCTCGGGCCGTGGAGCCCGGTCAGACGCGCAAGGACACACGCGTCTCTCCTCCTTCTCCTTCTCCGCCTCCGCTTATCTTCCACCGCCGCCGTCTCTTCTCTCGTTCCGTGCACGCCTCTTCGAGGAGGCGCGATGATGAAGGCGGGGGAGCGGCCCAACTCGAAGCTGCTCCGCGGCGGGCGGCAGGAGTCGCGGCGGTTTCGGCTGCTGGCCGTCGTCGTCGGCTTCTTCCTCGTCTCCCTCACCTTCGTCCTCGTCTCCAAGCCCGACGCCATCCTCTTCGGCCGTGAGTCTCCTCCTTTCAAATTTCAATTCCATCCTTATTCCTTCCTCGGGACTCTCAATTCTACTGGTCACAGCGTCGTCTTCTTCTTCTTCTTGAAGAAGACGCTCGCTAACCAACTGTGACTAACTGGCTGGCCCGTCTTCTTCTCGCGCAGTGAACGGCAAGCTGCCGGCGGAGCAGGCGCCGGCGTCCATCCTGATCCAGCAGAAGGTCAACACGCCAGCCCAGAAGACCTCCACCGACGCCATCATCGGTAACCAATCAATTAAAACCAAAATTAATGTCCCCGTTAATTCTTGCCGTTTCTCCGGCCTCACTCACCCGGCCGTTTCCTCTTCCTCCCTTCCTCCAGGTGGAGACCCCAAAGTGGTCGACGATGAAACCTATGTAAAGCCAAAAGGTAAATCCCTACCACTACCCGTCTCACCCACAAGGCTTTTCGTGTCTGCCTCACTAAAACTAAAGGTTATATGGCTCCTTTACATCTCCATAGAGATGAGAGGCGGCGAGGAGGAGGACCATCGGGTGCTGAGCGAGCCGGACCCGGCCAGCGGGATGGCGGAGCCGGCCGCCAACAAGGACGCCGACGCCCGTAAATCCGGCGACGAGACGCTAGGTAGGTCAGCCCATAATAATCAGCAAGCGTCTCTGTCCCATCCATTTCGTTCTCTGAATCCGTGACTTGACACCCGGGCCGCCGGGCTGAAGCGTTGAATGTTCCTTCAAAACTGATGCTGAGATGAGATGGTTGGCTGTGTAGGTGGGGAGAGGAAGGATGAGGAGGGGGAGGAGGAGCACGCCAAGGTGACGCTCCCGACCGTCTCCAATTACACCATTCATGACGCCGAGGACGCCGAGGACGCCAAGCAACAAGGTACCACCTGCATTTATTCGATGTAGCTTCCGTTTTTTGTGCGTTGGCTGGCTGACGCCCATTTACTACTTGGTTATTCAGTCAGTCAATCTCGTTCTGTTCTCTGTTTCCATCTGCAACCTTCGCCGTCAGAGCATCCATCCATTAAGAACTTGATTCCTCTGTATCTAATCGCAGAACCGAAGCTGTACTCCCACTAGAAATTTATGGAAATAAGTGGCACTGTCAGAGTAGTAGTAGAACTCAAGTGTTGATGGTCTACTCTACTATGAGCACAAGCTAGAACAATGTACTGTCGTTAGTTTAATCCGAGTTACCGGCAGTGAAAAGTGAAAACAGACCGCCAATGCAGACGTCCGATTCAAGTTACTGTAGTATCTTACCAATGCGATCGTTGCTGTTCTCGGCGACGCCCACTCGGAGCATTGATTGCTTGGCATCACGTGTCAGAGCTCGTACCCCTACATGATCGTTGGCCCGTTATTGCTAGACTAGAATTTTGACCCCATTGAGCGCCATGATCCGGCTGCTATGCATCACGCCCAATTTTTAATCAACAGTCTTCAATTCCCCAGGCTCGAGCTTGAGCAACGTCGTCCAGGAACAGCAGGAGCAGCAGCAGCAGGGGAGCAGGCCGCTGTGCGACTTCTCCAACTTCCGGGCGAACGTGTGCGAGATGCGCGGCGACGTGAGGGTGCACCCGAAGGCCACCTCGGTGCTCTTCATGGAGCCCGAGGGGTCGCAGCGGGACGAGGTGTGGAAGATCAAGCCCTACCCGCGGAAGGGCGACGAGTTCTGCCTCAGCCACATCACGGAGCTGACGGTCAAGTCCAGCAAGGTGGCCGCCGAGTGCACCGTGTACCACGACGTGCCCGTGGTCATCTTCTCCCTCACCGGCTACACGGGCAACCTCTTCCACGACTTCACCGACGTGATCGTGCCGCTCTTCACCACGGCCGCCCAGTTCGACGGCGAGGTGCAGTTCCTCGTCACGGACATGGCGCTCTGGTGGACCGTCAAGTACCACACCCTGCTCCAGAAGCTGTCCAGGTACCCGTTGATCGACTTCGGCAAGGACGACCAGGTGCGCTGCTTCAAGCACGCCATCGTCGGCACCCACGCCTACATGGAGTTCACCATCGACGCCGCCAAGTCGCCCAACGGGGTCACCATGGTCGACTTCAACCGGTTCATGCGGGACGCCTACTCGCTGCCCAAGGCCGCCGCGGCGGCGCTCGGGGAGAGCCCCAGGGTGAAGCCCAGGCTGCTCATCATCAAGCGGCACCGGACGCGGATGTTCCTGAACCTGGAGGAGATCATCGGCATGGCGGAGGAGCTCGGGTTCGAGGTGGTGATCGACGAGGCCAACGTGAGCTCCGACATCAACGGCTTCGCGAGGCTGGTGAACTCGGTGGACGTGATGATGGGCGTGCACGGCGCCGGGCTCACCAACTGCGTCTTCCTGCCGCAGAACGCGACGCTCATCCAGATCGTGCCCTTCGGCGGCCTCGACTGGATCTCCCGCACCGACTTCGGGAACCCCTCGGAGATGATGGGCCTCCGCTACAAGCAGTACGCCATCACCGTCGACGAGAGCAGCCTCACCGACCACTACCCGAGGGACCACAAGATCTTCAGGGACCCCATCTCCTTCCACAAGCGCGGCTTCGAGTTCATCCGCCGCACCTTCATGGACAAGCAGAACGTGAGGCTCGACTGCAAGAGGTTCAGACCTGTGCTGCTGGAGGCGCTCGACAACCTCAACCAGTAACTTTTTTCAAGGGGGGAAACAGCTGGTCTTGCCGCCCATTTTTTACCATTCGTTTCGTGGAATTTGTTGCTCATTCTCTCTCATGGCGTGTATGTATGGTCTAAACTATAGAGATTTTGTCTAGGAATTTACTCGTGTAAACTGTATAAATTAAATCAAATTGCCCGCCGCTGCAAAGATGGAACGAAATTCATTGAGATGATTATAGGCCCCTCGCATTGTCTGTCTGTCAGGAATCTCATCGGTTGTTTTTGTCATCCTGCAACGATATTTTATAGTCAAGTACTTTGACTTTTCTGGTAACCAACCGTATGATAAACCAATCTGCTGAGGTGTGTTTCCACATGGTTTGTTTGATGGAGAAGCTCTTAAATAACAGTGGTGGAACACTCTGGGAGAACATGGAATTGTGCTCTGAGCATGTGATTTGAGTAAGAAAACTGTTAGCATGTTACTGTAAGCTGGATCAACTAGACCGAAATGACCAATGATGTGGTTTGGATTTAGTATACGAGTGCGCTGCCCAGGCCGATGAATTAGGCCCAATAATATCCTGATGTCGCGTAAGCATCGCTCATGGGTCAGTCTAACGGAATTCCTACTTATAACATTCACCGCGTCAAACACCACTGTGAACCAATCATCACAAAAAAAAATGTAATTTGAAAATGATTGATAGCATTCAAAAATAGGTTTGTGACTTTTAATATATGTTCATGCGTTCAAAAAAAAATGCAGGTGACATTTAAAAAAAAAATGTTAATGCAACGTAACTAAACTGATCTTTTAATTTTAAAATATCTTTTTGTACCATTCAAAACAAATGTATGCCCCGTTAAAAAAATGTTCACGCGTTTCTAAAACATGTCCATGCCATTTTCTAAACAAAATATATAATGTAAAGAAAATGTTTGTATAATTGCAAAAAATGTATTTTCCCCTTACATTTATGGAAAAAATCACGAGTTCCAAGACTATTTTCATGGATTAGTTTTAAATAAACTATACAAATAATAAAATATTTGAATAGTTTTAGAAAATCTTTTTTATTCTAATTCAAAAATAATGTTTCAATATGTATTTGAAATGTGTTCAATACTTATTTAACAAAATGTTAATAATGTATTTTAAAAATCTTAGACATGTATAAAAACATGTTTCGAATGTATACAAAAAAGGTAATATGTGGGTGAAAAATATAAGGCATTGAAAAAAAATTAAAAATCTAAACTTGTATAAATAAAATGATTGTACTGGGGAAATTAGGAAAATGTAATAAAAACCAAAAAAATCTAAAATGTTGAAAACGTCAACATTTGTTGGAAATTGGGAAAGAAACACATATAGCCGAAGCATGAATGGAAAACATTGAAAACTAACACAAAAACTGAAAGAACAATAAAATAGAAGTGCAATAGGATAAACATATTGTAAACCAAAAGAGGACAAAAAACATATGGAAACCAACACACAAAACACACACACAAAAGTTGCCTAAAAACAACTCCTGACGGAATCCATATTGGTCCGGCACAGTAACGCCTCGAAACGAAAAAAGGAACGTGATATTTGGCACACATGTGCCATATAGCTAAAACTACCACACCTTCTTCCTTCGATCTAAGTACATGCATGATTGCATTAGGATGAATCATCCTCTTTTCACATGCATTCTTTTCTCTAATTACATGCATGCATCAGAGGACAAAAATAGCTGATGTCATCATAGATTCTTCTTATTTTAAAAATTTAAAATGTTTTGTAGCTCAAACCGTCGATCCGATGCCAAAAACATTTTCACATAAAACATTCGTTGCGGCGAGCTCTTCGAAACTAGATCCCATGTTGTTATGTTCCGACGATTTTTTTCCGGGTCAATAGTTACCACTCCCCGGTTACATAAGTTACCACGTCTGTGATATGCAATTTATCATGCTATTTTCACATAAGTTATCGGGGGGCATAAATAAGGTTCTCTCAGAAGACAAAAAATTTGATGTCATTCTAAATTCTTCTTATTTCGAAAATCCAAAATATTTTGTGACTCAAACTGTCGATCCGATGCAAAAATTCTTTTCACATAAAATAGTCATCACGATGAAGTCTTCGAAACCGGATCCCATGTTATGTTTCCTTGACTTTTTTCGGGTCAAAAATTACCACGTCTGGGCTACATGAGTTACTACATTCGTGGTATGTTAGTTACCATGCTATTTCCACAGAAGATATCGGGGTTATATTTTTCAACAAATTTCCCCTCTTGGTTAAAAATTTACGTAAGTTATCGGATATACGGTTCGTATATTACTGTGCTATTTTGACATAAGTTACCGGGGTTATGTTTTCCAACAAATTTTTCCTTGGTCAAATTCGCTGCAGTGTTTGTATGGAAGTTATCGGATATGTGGTTTGTATATACTGTGCTATATTCACATAAGTTACTGAGGTATATTTTTCAACATTTTTTTCCTATGGTCAAAGTTATCGCGGTTTGTGTATGTAAGTTATTGGGTATGCGGCTTGTATATTACCATGTTGTTTTCACATAAGTTATTGGGCTTATGTTTTTTTCCTTTTGTCAATGTTACTATGGTGTTTGCATGTAAGTTATCAGATCCGTGGGGTGTATGTTACCATACTATTTACACATAAGTTATCGATGGATATGTTTTTCAATTTCCTCAAGACAAAAGTTACCATGGTGTTACTATGTAAGTTATCGGTTACGCGGTTGTGACGCCCTCGATGCGGCTATATCTCCCACGTGTCAAAGCACGACTTAGAGGCATAACCGCATTGAAAGCAATGTCGCAAGTGAAGTAATCTTCACACAACCCATGTAATACATAAGGAAAAGAGATACATAGTTGGCTTACAATCGCCACTTCACACAATTACATGAATAAAGCATTACATCATCCAGATACAATCAAGGTCCGACTACGGAACCAAAATAAAAGAAGACTACCCTAAATGCTACACAGATCCCCGATCGTCCCGACTGGGCTCCACTAATGATCAACTAGAACGAAACAACACAAAGGACAAGATCTTCATCGAGCTCCTCCTTGAGCTTGGTTGCGTCATCTGTACGGACTCATCAGCACCTGCAAGCTGGTTTTGGAAGTATCTGTGAGCCATGGGGACTCAGCAATCTCGCACCCTCGCGATCAAGACTATTTAAGCTTATAGGTAAGGCAAGGTAATATGTGGAGCTGCAGCAAGCGACTAGCATATATGGTGGCTAACCTATTCGCAAAAGAGAGCGAGAAGAGAAGGCAAAGCACGATCGAGAAACTATGATCAAGAAGTGATCCTAGAACAACCTACGTCGAACATAACTCCAACGCCGTGTTCACTTCCCGGACTTCGCCGGAAAGAGACCATCATGGTTACACACGCGGTTTATGTATTTTAATTAAGGTCAACTTCAGGTTTTCTACAACCGGACGTTAACAAATTCCCATCTGCCCATAACCGCGGGCATGGCTTTCGAAAGTTCAAATCCCTGCAGGGGTGTCCAACTTAGCCCATCACAAGCTCTCATGGTCAACGAAGGATATTCCTTCTCCCAAGACATTCCGATCAGACTCGGCATCTAGGTTACAAGACATTTCGACAATGGTAAAACAAATCCAGCAACACCGCCCGAATGTGCCGACAAATCCCGATAGGTGCTGCACATATCTCGTTCTCAGGGCACACTCAGATGAGACATCCTACGAGTAAAATCAAACCTCAAGTTGCCCCGAGGTGGCCCCGCAGTCTGCTCGGTCGGACCAACACTCAAAGGAGCACTGGCCCAGGGAGGGTTAAAATAATGATGATCCTTGAGTCTGCAGAACCCAAGGAAAAGAAAAGGCTAGGTGGCAAATGGTAAAACCAAGGTTGGGCATTGCTGGAGGAGTTTTATTCAAGGCGAACGGTCAAGTGGTTCCCATTATAGCCCAACCGCATAAGGAACGCAAAATCCAGGAACATAACACCGATATGACGGAAACTAAGGTGGCAAGAGTGGAACAAAACACCAGGCATAAGGTCGAGCCTTCCACCCTTTACCAAGTATATAGATGCATTAATTAAATAATATATATTGTGATATCCCAACAAGTAAACATGTTCCAACAAGGAACAACATCTCCATGTTCCAACCAGGAACAAACTTCAATCTTCACCTACAACTAACAACGCTATAAGAGGGGCTGAGCAAAGCGGTAACATAGCCAAACAACGGTTTGCTAGGACAAGGTGGGTTAGAGGCTTAGTTTAATAATGTGGGAGGCATGATAAGCAAGTGATAGGTATCGCAGCATAGGCATAGCAAAAGAGCGAGCAACTAGCAAGCAAAGATAGAAGTGATTTCGAGGGTATGATCATCTTGCCTCAAATCGCGCAAGAAAGAAGAACGAGTCCATAAAGAAGAGAAATGGACGCAGTCGAATGGGTCCTCACAATCACGACGTTACCGGAATCAACCCGAAGAAGCAACACCGGAAAGAAGCACATGACAGAGTAAACAACCAACACATGAACATGGTATGATATGCGGGATGCGGTATGCGGTATGCGATGCATATGCATGATTTGGAAAGGAATGATTGGACCTGGCCTCAACTTGGAAATCCAAGAGTGCCACTGGAAAGGTGAGGTGATTTCGGTTGAAATCGATATAAAGACCACCGAAATCGGATGCACGGTTTGGAAACGGCAAGCAAAACAAATATGGCACCGGTCTGCGATAAACAGCAAGTAGTCACCTAAATGCATCAAGATAATTATGCTACAACACTCAAACATGGCAACAAAATACATGGCAGGGATCCACTCATGATGCTTGACAAAAGATGAACACTGATCTACGGCCAATTCATCCATTAACAGGTTCAAACAAGCATGGCAAAAATACAAACGATAATAGGTTTCAGACTTAGTGAAATTAACACAAGTCTGGAATTTATCATCAGGAAGCACACTTTAGAGCATGAAAACTACATGCTATA